CCCGTGTCTCTTGACCCATCCGGCGTGGAAGCCATCAAGCTGCTGAGAGATCGCTTGATAAGTGGAAAGCCCCGCACCATCCACGCCGCTTGGCAGGAGAAACCCATGATTGTTTTCACAGACGGGGCTCTGGAGGAGGATTCAAATCTTGGAGCCCCCGCTACAGTGGGCGGTGTTTTATTTGATCCAAAGAAGCCCGGATGTGCCTCGGTGTTCGGGTCAATGGTGCCTAGTGAGCTCCTTCAACATTGGCGGTCAGATGGCAAGACTCACGTAATAGGTCTCGTTGAGCTCTATGCGTCCATCTTGGCTTTAAGATTTTGGAGGAGGCACCTCGAAGGCCGGCGAATCATCCTGTTCGTGGATTCTTGGCCGGCTTTAGACTCCTTGGTTAAGGGGGATTCTAGTGTGCGCCTCTGGAGAGAGCTGTTGCTTGTGTTGGAGAACCCAAAGGAGCGTTTGCCTATGTTCCTTTGGGTTGCTCGCGTCCCTTCCAAATCCAATGTGGCAGACCCACCGAGCCGTGGATCCTTAGACGAGCTTGCAGCGTGGAAGCTGACTGTTGAATGCCCAGTGTGCCCTTTGTGCAAGAGGACGCTCAACAGCCTTGTCTAGATCGATGCTAAAGCGGACTGGGGAAAGACTATGCAAAATGCGTCCATGGTGAAACCAAGGAGCTACGTGGGGCAAATGTGTCCATTCGTGATTTACCCCCAGTGCGCTGGAAATGAAAACATCCGATCGTCTGCATGTTTGATTGCTATGTTATTGATTGTTCATACTATTGACGAACGATTTGATTGATAATATTTGATGCGAACATTTTCCGGAATATGCACTCCGTTGTGTTCACCACTCCTCACGCGGTTAGCTGAGCTACTGCCTGTATATACATGAGTGATTGTGGATTCATTTATTTCATGCAAATACTCTTTTTGAACTCTGGCAACTTCATAAAGCAACTGTCCAAGTTGGTAGCGGGGGTGTTCGTTTTTCCTCGAGCCCAACCACGCATTGATTGCACTGGCCAGGCTTGATGTGATGCTTTCAATGCAACTGGTTCAAAGGATGCAGTGCAAATTGTGCGCGGGCTTGGGTAAAACATCAGGCCAAGCCGCAGCAAGTTACTGCACCACGGGCAACGTAAGCATGTCAAGGTGGGCAACATGTGCAGCTACTTCCAAATATTTTTAGGAAGCAAAAGAGGTCATTTTCGAACCTTCACAGCAGTGGATTGGCACCAACATCTTGCAAGATTTTGCTTCGCTTGTGTGCGTGTGTGTGTGCATGTTGCATGCGTGGTTGAAAAACAAGCTTTGTGGCACAACATGGTGAAGTTCCACGATGCATGTGTATGCGTGAGTTTTATGGATGTGACAGAACAGCATGTTGGCATCATGCATCAATTCACTTTCTGGCAGCAAAACGAACATATTTTTTGTGATCAGGGGCAGAATTTCGAGCTGCATGAAATGAAAGCACCAGATTCTGTGCAGGCTGGTTGCATGGCAGCAGTGAGTAAGTCCCGCTTTGTGGTAGGCAGCTTGTATGCTGTATAGTCATACTGATTTGTAGCAGGCATCGGGAATCCGAAGCTTCTAGGCGTGAGCGCTGTTGGATCGTCCTTTCTAGTGGTGTCAACATCTGCTTGATAGTTGCACATAGCTACCAGGATGAATTGCCCCTTCACGGAGCATCCCGTTTTGGGTATACAAGCCATGATGGTTTTGGCTGTGTTGAATTTTTTGCAATGGAGATGGCAAGGTTCTCACTGTGCCGGATGAATCGCGACGTACAAGTTAAGGATGTAGCGTGAGGCATACATGTAAGCATGCCAAGACCCAAATCAAGGCACATGTGAGCTTTGAGTAGTGCTGGTGACCACTTGCTGAGACAGGTATAGCCATGTCATGAGGCAAAGTGGTTTGCCATGGTATTTCGTGGATGAGTACGGACAGGACCATTTACAGTTGCCAGCAAGTGCTTTGCTACGGACGGGTTGTCAGGAGCAAGGACCCATTGCAAGCACCAAGTTCCGGGAGATGCTGCAGCAGCCACCTCAGCATTGGCATTTGAAACCAAGCTCTCAGCAATGCTGGTGAGGTCTGGCGGTATCCCACGGGCCTGGCGCTTTTCATAGCCTCCATGTTAACATGACCACGATGGGGGCATGAGAAGTTGCCAGCTGCTTGCAATTTTCATGACTCCGACCTGCGACCAGGGTTGGTGTTGGTTGTTTTACTCGCCTTACCAAAGCACAGTTGCTTTATTGCTTGTGGATTAACGTGCAGTTTTCCGTACGAAAGGCACGGCAGGCTTCGGTGGAGTGGAAACATACAGCATAGCAGACACTGCAGGCTCTGCGTGTGCGGCTTCCAAACTGGGAACGCCGGGCCCAAGTGTCAAGTTTTTGGTTCTCGAGATGCTGGCGGCTGTTGCAACATTTTGCTCAGGACATTTTGCGGTAGAGCAACTCTGGCCAAATCGAGAGGTACGCAACGCTGTTGCATGCTTGGCGCTTCAACTCCTGGGGCTTTCCCAAATTTGTTATTTCATCACCAGCATGCAAAGATGGTACCAACAAAAGATCCATATGACCAGGATCAGTAGTGCAGCAAATTTGAATTCTCCGAGAAAAGTCAAGCTTGAAATTCTTGTGCCTCATTCCAACGTTCTGTACATGACTGTGATGGTGAAACATGCTTGTCATTCGCAGGCAGACAGTCGTCATGCTCCAACTACTATCATTTCCTATGTACTTATCGTTGATCGTCGTACTAGTATGCTCACGGATACTGCTGCCATCAGTCAACTGTTCTTCATCCTGTTGCATCTCAAGCATGTTCTGTTTGTAGCAAAGGTTCAAAAAAACGCGCACCCGAATCAGTGAGCAATTTATCCGCTACCGTGTTTTGGGGATATTGTGTTTTGGACGGTTGCATACAATTGCATGATGTTCTCCACTGGCGAAAAGTACGTCATACATGTGACAGGCAGGCTAAAGTTAAATATGACATATGCTGTTTGATATTCCCAGCTGGCATTGGACGTTTATGATGGGCAGGCTGCGTTTGTGCTGCCGCCAGCTTGGTGCAACGCTTGGGTCAAGATGGTTGAGAATACGACCACGGCCGGAATCAGTGTCACACGAAGCGAAAAGCTGTACAACAGCTGAGGCCAGATATTTACTCGAACTCTCGGCGCGGCACTGATGTACGTAGGCCAGTTTCGTGCAAAGCAGATTGATGCCGGCAAGGTGGACCTGTGCCAATCTTGATGGTGAAGGCAGGTTAAGAATCTTCATGTTGGGTGACATGCGTACGCAGCATGATCCAGCCATCTCCTGAATTGATGGCAATGGATCAAAGGCATCAAGGCATGTATGGGTGCCAATATATCTGGTTCAAGACGTTTGCACCGATTGCCCATTACTCACAATTCTCCGCTCGTGCGGCGCCACCCGGCAATGGCAGGCAGAAGGCCACTGCTTGCCATAGGTATAGCAGCTGCAGTGGTTGCGGCCGGAACGAGCTTTTTGGCACCTGGGCAGCTGCGGGCTTAGCAACGCGCTCGTATGGAAGGTTTGGCGCGACAATTGTTCCCACATCCATAGCGCATTCTGCGTGTACTGTGCTAATGATGCCAGTGTGTCATACAATTTGTTTGTGCGACGCTTAGGCCAGGGAGGCTTCGCGGCAATTTTCATTTTTGGGCTCACAAGCCTGGACAACCGAAGATTAATTGAAAAACATGGACCATTTTGATTTCCGGTTTTAGCAGTCCTGGGAGGTCTTGGGGGCATGCAACCACCAGACCCAGGCAGTGCAAACCTCACCGGCTTTGATCAAAGAAAGGGCTCCCAGCCTTCGCGGAGACTGTTTGTATATTGGGGTAATATTGGGATAATGGAAAAGAAAATGGAAACTACAGGTAGTATAGGGGTGATATTGGGGTAATATTGGGATAATGGAAAATGAAATGGAAACCAAATGGAAAAGAAAATGGAGAATGAAATGGAAACTGGGATTATATTGTTTGTGCAGTCGCATGCATGGATCGTAGGAGCTTAAAAAGAAACAGATGATTTTGGTGATTTTGTCGTGATACTAGTACGTTGGAACTTCTATGATGCCATCCTTACTGTATTCTACCACCACTGCAGGAATGTGGTCTCTACTTTCACCCACACACAGAGTGGCCAAATTCCCAAAAGCTGAGTTTTGCATCCGCCGCACATCATCAGCCAGCAGAATCTCTTATGCCCTAAATGAGCCAGCTGAAACACCTTAGATTAAAAGATGCATTGCTCCAACATTCCATGGGCTTGCAACGTTTTATCATCGCTCAGCAAGCCTGACAAGCACGTTCCACGAATTGACAGCTCAGATCAGGACCTCCATGCGAAGGCCGACCACCCAAGCCGTCAACAGTTTTGCATGTGCACTGCTCCGCGAAAGCTTCTATGTTGTGTTGGTCGTCATGCTGGCTTTGCAACTTGTTTCGTTGATAACTCCCGACTCGCGCCCCACCTACTTGTTACTTTCTTTGTCAATGACCCTTCAACTGCCCGTCTGTGCGGTGTGAAGACTTGTTTGGGGAGGTACACTTGAGAAGTATACTTGAGGCAAAGGGCCAGCTTTCTGGGTATCGGGTATCTGATAAAGAACCCGCAACTGGGGGCCGACGTTTTGTTGCACGAGGTTTGTCATGGAGTGTCATACAGACGGTATTGGGCTCTTTTCATGTGGGAGATGCGTCTGAACCTTACCTTTCGCGCAAGGATCCTGAACCAGCCTCGTGTCCAGCATGCTCGCAGATGGATTTAACGCAGTTTTACCTCGGCAGGACTTTGCTGCATGTTTTTTTTTGCAAGGGACACGAGTGCCGAACCGCTCCCTCAAACTGCAAATGTCCGTCACTGCATGACAGGCATGCAAACCAAAAAAACTCTGCACGGCTGGGCAGAAAGAAACCAAGTGTGGGACGGCAGTGCAGGAGCGGTGGCATAGAAGCAACCTTGTCACCGCAAGCAACTGCGTTCAATCACACCCATGTTGTGTGGACTGGCGCATGGAGGTTTTCTAGCACGGAACCGAGAGCCGCAAGTCCACAAGTTGTGACAAACTTCATGATGTCTCTTGCATAGAAGAATGGTGGCGCCAAGTGCTGGACGGCCTGAAAACATTCGATGCGGAATGCAGTGACTTCACCATGTCTATGCCGCAGGTAATATTCTGAGGATTACCGAGCCCAAGGAGCTTTGCCAAACTGTTCCGTTTTGGGTGTGTTTCCAACCCCTCAACCACGTTGCAAAGCACTGTCTGCTCAGCATGTTGTGGAACAGTCGGCAGCTTCAATGGCGTTTTAATGTTATGTAACCCCAGCCAGCAGCTACACATGTACCAGAATTCTTGAAACATGCATGCGGCATTGCATGGTGCAGTTGGGGAGCAAAGTGATCCGCTCATGCCTGGTTGTGTTCCGTGCCGAAAGCTTCTCATGCTGCACCATGAGACCAAAGGCTGGTTGTGGGAGCAGGATGTTTTTGCGCCCATCGCCTCATTTCGTCGTGATACCGGAGCGAAGTCAGGCTGTGCATGATGATGCGCCTCCGCGTGTGTTGGGCACATGTCCGTGTTCAGGTGCCTTCAGCGCAGGGCAATTCATTGCTGTGATTTCGCTCTCGTGGCGTAATTTTCCTTTCATTACACAGAACAAACACATAAATAGACTTGAACTAACTACACTGCGAAGTTCCATGAAACAGATGAACTGAGCGAATGCATTTTATGTGGGATAGTTGGGGTTCGTGGCTCTATGCTCCATACAGCATCTTTCAGATTCTCCGCAAGGTGGGCCCACGGGCAGACCAATCAACCGGGTCAAACGCTTTGGACAAAATATGCAATCCAAATGCGATGACTATCCGAAAGATCGGCAAGTGCCAATTCCAGAACAGCGGATGTTCTTCAGCAGGGTATCCCATTCTAAAACCATGTTGCATTTTTGTTTTCGACTTTACAAGGGCGGGATGCGGCTGCCCAACACGGGGTCGTCCCAGCGATTGTCTGCAAGGAGCTCATATGGTTTGGCGTACCTTATCACCTTATCGTGATCGTTGCTTTTGCCGCTAAGTTGCTCGAGCAGGGAGCTGGCGTATGTGCATTGGGCGGCCACGGTCAGCTGTGTTGCGCAAAGCAAGACCTAGGCTGTTTGAGCAGTCGGGCGCAGCCAGGCCGTAATGGGGCAACGCGCTGCCGCGCGAGGATTCACAGGAAAACAACCACATCAGCATCGAATTTGACAAAACTTCGTTGCCGACCACATTTGCGCGTCCGCGAAAGCTGAGGATGCTTCGGCGTAGTTCGTGCTCAGCCGTAACAGAAGCATGCCCTGGCTCGGGCCTTTGGCTCGCCGATGCGCGACACGAGAGCCGCAGCGGGAGACCATTTGGACTGCCCAAACATTGCGAGCAGTGGGTATGGCAATGGCGGCCGTTGTGGCCATGGCAGACGGACCTGGAGATGCGGACAAAGGCGGTGGAACACCTTGAGGTGGAGAATGCGACCGAAGCAGCAGCCGGTCGCCATCTTGCTCGGAGTCTTCAACGCCACCTCCGCCAGCACCTGGACGCGATGGGCCTGCCGCTGACCCGCCTGTGGTGGAGCGAGCTGCTGCCGATGGGCGCGCCCGCCATGGGGCGCGGGACCGCGCTGTTCCTACGAAGCTCCCGAAGGCAATGGCAAGGATGGTCACAAAAACGGTGGCAAAGGAAGCGGCAAACGCGATGAGCCTGCCGCGCGTAGCAGGCGCGGTGGCCGCAGGCATCGGCGAGGCGACGGAGACCCTGGAACATTACTCAGAGCTGTGCTTAACACCCGCCGTTGAATCAGCCCGAGCTCTCCTTGAGTATTTGCACTTGTTCACGTGTGCTGCAGACAGTTTTCTAAAGAGGCATCTTTGCCGGCACGTCGTGCAGAAGGGTTTTTTTGGAACAGGCGCCTTCAGGATGCGTGCCCAAAAAGAAAATAGCGCTTGTGCACCAACCGTGGCAATTGTTCTGCTTGCTGCTAACGCGAACTTTGCACATGTCTGACGGCCGCGCACGAACGCTCCCGCAGCCACGTGCAGCGCTGGCGCACTGCACCGTTCATTTTTTCTTTTTCAAGCCTTTCTGCAAACAGTCAACGTGGTCCCAGTGCAGACAGCTCACGGAAGGTGTGCGCAACACGGAGGCGATTGATATCCACAAGTCAGGACCCATCAGGGCATGCGGCTTGCGAGAGGAGGGGCGTCAAACGAGTCCGCGAGCAGATCGCTGAGGGGGGGCAGGCCAACAGTGCTAGTGACTGCTAGTGCCGGCCAGGGGGAGGCCGAGCAGGCTGGCTCAGCGATCGACAAGATGGCCGACCAGCGAAGTGCGAGGGTGGAGGTGCAAGCTGCGCGAGAAGAGGCCGGGACGGCCCGGGCTCTGCACCCTACGAGCAGGCGGACAACGGTGGCTGCTTCGGAACCCCACCGGCCACCGACCTCGATGCCGAGGACCGTGAGATGGCAGCGCTTGGCGGCAGCGAGCTCAGGAAGTTCGTGCTCACTTCGGAATCATGAGAAACCATGATGTAGGGGCCGACGGAAACAGGCTTGGGCTTCTCAAGTTTACCAGCTGGCTGTACAGGCGGCTGGTAGCCATGAAGGGTTGGCAAATCTTTGGTCGTCTCCACCAGTTGCATGGCGGCACCGAATCCGCGCTTTTTGTTTCGGGGATTAACTGTCCCTTCCATGCCCATGCGTGTTTGTACACGAAGCTTTGACCTGACCTGACTTGACCTTAGCTACCTTGTTCGGCATACCCTTGGGACAATGCAATCAGGACCTAAATTGTCTCGTTTGTTTTTCCTGAGGGAAACGGAATTCTTTGAAATCCTGATTTAATCGTTCTATTTTCCAAGGGATTGCCAGCGGCCTCTAGCCACAATTTACTCACGATTTAATTGTCCGAATCTCTGCCATACCCCATGATCTATATGGAATGTTTCCGAAGTCCCAGAGGCCCGAACCACAATTAAATTGCGAGTCAATTGTTGATTTGAGGTGCGCTCGGAAGGGGAAAGTCCAAGATTCCTAAAAGCCTTAGACGCAATGAGCCGCCTTTCATTCATACTCCCAGAGGCCCCTAGGCACAATTACATCGTGATTTAGTTTTGTAGATTTGAGTCGTACCCTACGATCTATATGTATGTATGTATGCATGCATGCATGCACGCATGCATGTATGTGTGTGACGTGCAATATACATCATCTGTGTCTCCCGCACCTGGGGATGTCATGGCGCGTGTGGCGTTGTTAAGACGCAACATGTCTTCAACGGCTGGCCCCCTGGATTTTCCGTTCACTGCAGCGGAGTTGCAACATGTGCTGTCTCAGCTTCCGTCACATCGAGCCCCAGGCCCGGATGGCCTGCCTTATGAGTTGTTTTCGGTTCCGGACGTAAATCTTGCGGCGGCCTTGTTGGCCATGTTTGAGCTGGTGCGTCATTGGGCAGTACTTCCCACTATTTGGCGCTTTGCCTGTGTGAGCCCGCTGCACAAAACCGGTGCTGCCGATGATTTCAATAATTATCGCCCCATCAGCCAATTATCGCCCCATAAGCCTCTTTTGCTGTAGTTTCAGGATTTTTGAGCGCTTGCTATTGGCACGTTTACTTCCTGTGGTTGACCCCCAACTTGATGAGAGTCAGGCCGGCTTTCGGTTCGGAGCCGAGGAACATGTGTATACGTTGGCTGAAACCCTCAGGGTGCGCTGTGGGCGCCGCACTTTTTGCGCATTTGTCGATGTGCGGAAAGCGTTCGACATCGCGTGGAGGGATGCAGTCTTGCTTAAACTTGCTGAAATCGGAGTTGCTGGTGGCACATGGGCTGTTATTGCAAACCTTCTCACTGACACAACAGCACGCTCGGTTGTGAATGGTTCCGCATCTTCGCCTTGGACAGAAAGCGCGGGCGTGCGACAAGAGAGTGTTCTCGGCCCCTTGTTGTTTAACATCCTTTTCAATGGTTTTGCCGCAGCTGTGCGTGCCGCTTGTCCAGGGGTTGCATTAGGCAATGATGGCCATGCCCCAGGTGTGACAATCCTGATGTACGCGGATGATGTCGTAATTTTGGCAGATAGCGCCGACCATTTGCAACGGGCGTTGGACGCTGTTGGAACTTGAGGCGCGCAATGGCGCTTCACATTTGGCATTGGCCCTGAAAAAACTGCAGTTATGGTTGTTGGTTCTAGGTCGCTTGACTTCCATTTTTCCTTGCAAGGAAAAGCCCTCCCGTGTGTGTCGAGCTACACGTACTTGGGAGTGACATTTCAGACATCCCAGAAATGGAAATTGCACGTTGAGCGACTTTTGGATAAGGGCAACCGAAAATTTCACCAGTTTTTGGGTTGGGCTGAGAATCGTCAATTGCACACCGGGTTCCGCAACGGACTGTTTCGGACGTATGTCCTGCCGTCCATCATGTATGGAACCCACTTCCTTGATGCAATATGCCTCGTGCAGTTGGATAAGAAACTCCGGCAATGGGGGGGGCGTTTGTTGGGTTGGCCGGCTGGCGCACCTGGCGTAGCAGTCTTGGGCGAATTGGGTTGGGCACCGCTTGCCATGGAGGCCAAACGGCTGCAATATGGATTGTTTGCCCGGCTGAGCAGCGCGGGCGCACACAGTGCTCGTCGTCGCTTGGCAGCGCGGGTCTTTCAGTTTGCTTTGCATTGTCCAAATTTTTGGGCCCACTCTACAGCACACGGGCTCCGCATTGACGGCGTGGTGCTTCCAAGCTCATTGGGGCAGCTTGGCCTCTGGAGCCGCCGTCATATGCATCCGGCCGTCGCGCATTGTGCTCAGCGCCAATATCGAGATGAACTGACATCCGCGCGTTCCTTGAGAGAAGGGTGATCAGGGGTGATCGGATCGGAGTGTGGCATCTCTGACGCATGTCTTGCGCAAGATGCACTCCCAGCTGGCTGTCCGTTCCTTTCAAGCTTCTCTTCATAGTGTGCAGTTCCAAGGCAAGGAGACGCTGGATGTGTATCTGCATCCTGAGTCCCTACCTTGAAGAGCATAGCCCCAAGCACAGGTAGGCCCATAGAAGTTTTTCTTGTTCCGCTGGATGTGGGTTTTGTTAACCTTTTTTTGCCTTTTAGGCTTCGAACGTATGCTGATGTGATTGATCGGGGCCCACCGACTGAACAGGAGCTTTCTTTTGTATGGCTTTAAATAAGCCAACATGTTGCCGGTCAATGTGCCTGGCCATTTTGTATACTGACCGTAGACGGTTGTTCAAGGACCGAACCTCCCTAGACCTTAGGTCCCAGAAGCCTGTAGCTAAAATAAGATCGTGGTTGGGGCGGCGTCGCAAGGTTGGGCACGACGCTGGTGGGGCGTTTTGGCGGTGGCAGCCCAGCGCGCCGCATGCAGTGCGGTGCTCGGCATTTGGACCATGCCGCCATTGCCCAATGCTGACAGCGAGCGTTTTTTTTTTTTTAAGCGGACTTTTATGCCTGCACGAAGGTGTCCCCAGTCCCCGAAACCCGGAGCTACTGCTAAGTTCTCTCGCTGCCACGCGCGGTCCCGGCTTAGGGCCGCAGGGGGAGGCGGCTGGGCCCCT